TTCCAAGCTGCCTGCGCGCAGGTTTGGTGGTGGGAGAGATCTGGACGTGTGATGTTAATTTTACCTGTGATCCTCTGAATAAACCAGTACGGTTATTTTTTATAAAATCTAAAGTGGTCTACTTCGTCTTTTTGTGAGTTCCTGGTTTAAAAGAGCCGGAAGGAGGTTTGTACAGAAACAGAGCTTATACTATACACCAATGACTGCACCTCAGGGGACCCCTCTATAAAGATTCTGAAGTTCACAGATGACACAGTGGCTATCGGTCTCATCCAAAATGGTGACAAGTCAGCCTACAAACAGGAAGTTGAACCGCTGGCCCTGTGGTGCAGTTGCAACAACCTGGAGCTGAATATGCTGAAAACAGTGGAAATGACAGCAAACTTTAGGAAGAGCCCCCCAACATTACCCACCACCATCACCATGCTCAGCAGCATTGTACCAGCAGTAGAGTCCCTCAAGTTCCTGAAGACTAGTGTTAGCTATGCTAGTAACTTCTCCTAGCTCCTCTTCCTCCAAATGTCTGCCGGTGTCATCTTCCTTACCCTTTTTGGTTCCTCTGAACATTACTGTCAGTTGTTTACCATGCAAAGTTTTTTGTTTCCCTTTGGGAAACATTTCACTGCCTGTAAACTGTTGTCTATCAATTTATGAAAATACTGTATCTTATTAAAAGATGGCACTTTGTAACAGGAGCTGGGGAGCTCAGCAGTTATGCTGCCCACATTTTGGCAGAAGTCCAAAAAGTTCTTTACTTTCTGATGGTTCACAAACTATTGAGGTAGATTTTTACATTGCTGCCCATCATTTGCTTCAAATTGCATTGAGCTTCATTTACAAATCAAGAATATACGTGTCAATATTAGGGATATTTCTTTTAATGTGTAAAATTTAAAACAATGTTATGGTCATCTTCCAATGTTGTATTTTTAATTCATATGCCAAAATGACAATTATGCAGAAGAAGTGTCTTCTAACACACATACCTCTGTAGAGCCAGTGAAGGCCACTTTGTCAATGTCTGTGTGGCTGGCAATGGCTGCTCCTGCTGTGGGACCATACCCAGGAACAATATTCACAACTCCAGGAGGGAAGCCTGCCTGAAATGGCAACACGGAGAGCATTTTAGTGCAGACGAGACAATAAAACAAGAAGAGGACTGTGAGAGGTTTAAAGCCTAAACCTAAAACAGCCCATGACTTAGATCAGTCCAACTATACATAACATCTTGACCTCTTTGATTAGTGATCCAGTGTGCAAGGCTGTGAGTGGGGTCTGCTCTGCTGGCTTGATGACCACAGTGTTTCCACAGCTCAGGGCTGGTGCTATCTTCCATATGAACATCAGCAGAGGAAAATTCCACTAGCATAGACAAAAAAAGGTACTGTCTTCAATACATAAGTACACATATACACATATCAGATTAAAGCATATTGTCACAACCAAATAACACAACTAGTCCACAATCAAAATCTTACTAAAAGTACATTGACTTTAACCCTCCTCTGTTAGACTGGTAAGTCATTTATAGACCATTTGTATATCATAAGTCAAAGAACGAAAACTTCCACAATGAAAAATATCTCAAATGGTCTGCTTTTCATTTAAAGATTCACAAGGCTGAGCACAGAAATAACTGTTTGAATGGTTGAATGGAAAATAGGGAAAAGTGTTTTGAGTATGGCCCAATGCATAAAGTGCAATATCATTTAAAGTATGACTATTTAACATTTGCATACAAATGTATAGAATAAGACATCCACAGAGATATCACATTTACCAAATAGTATACACAATTTAAGACTCTAGTCACAAACATCAAGCTGCAAGCTGTCACAGATGGCCCAAAAAATTTTGAGATGCTGTAAAATCAGTCTCATCCGTGACAGTGACGAGTCAGCCTACAGACAGGAGGTTGAACAGCTGGTCCTGTGGTGTGGTCGTAACAACCTGGAGCTGAACACGTGCAAAACAGTGGACATGACAGAGGACTTTAGGAAGAGCCTCCCCCACCCTACACCCCTCACCATACTCAGCATCACTGTATCAGCAGTAGAGTCTTTCACGTTCCTGGGATCCATAATCTCTCGGGACCTGAAGGGGTCATCCAAAATCAGCACCATCACCTAGGAATCATCGAGTCTGGTCTCTGCACCTCCATCACTGTCTGGTTTGGCTCAGCTACCAAACAGGACAGGTACAGACTCCACCAGACAGTCATGACTGCAGAAAAGGTCATTGGTGCAAGCATGCCCTCCATGGAGGACCTGTACACCTCACGGGTCAAAAGGAAGGTGGAGAGGATCACTGCAGACCCCTCACACCCTGGACACAATCTGTTCGAACTCCTCCCCTCTGGACAGCATTACAGGTCACTGTGCACCAAGACAACAAGACACAAGGACAGTTTCTTCCCCTGGGCTGTCACTCTGATGAACATTGGATGACAACTTTCATAATTTCCAAAGAAGCAACGAAGTCACTGGAATCTTTCAGATTGGTTTACTTGCAGCAAGGAGACAAGTCAGCATAGGCATTCAGAGTTGTCTGAATAAGCTAGTCTAAACATCACAATATATAGTACAAAGGGAACTCCCTAAAGACGCATTCCAGGCGTTAATCAAGTTGAAAAGAAGATTCAAACGGGAAAAGTGAACTTGAGAGGCTTTGCCCTGATAACCTCACAGGCGATAAACAATATGTTGTCCATTCATCTTCACAATATATGGCAGGAAAGAGTTTATAGCTGGCTCCTTTAAGTCTGGAATGCCATCCTAGCTGAACATATAACAACACATAAAGTACTGAAAACAAAGATAAAACATGTCCTTCAGTTCACACATGCAGTGTCTCACAGGTCCCTGTTATCTGTAGTCTGTTCTGAAAGCTTAAAATCTATTGAATAACATATGTTGGTTAATACAGTATATTGATTAGAACACAATTTAAAACATACTTAATAATGTAATTTTCATGACAGTGCAATAAACTGTAAATATACTTTAAATATACTATATATCGATCTGGAAAATGCATCTAAACTGTGTGTATATGTAGTTCTCTATTTATATATTTATTTTCCTGATGTGCATTCCTTTTTCTTGTTTGCACATTCCTTTTTGTTCTCTCAGTCTTATCTTGTTCACTTGTCTAGTCATTGTTTTAAAGAAGAACACTGCACATCCATACTGAGAGCCACTGTACCCGAGCGAAATTCCTCGTGTGTCCAACACACCTGAAAGCTGTACTGTACAACCAGTCTGATCTACTGGCCAGCTCCACTGGAGCAACTGGGGTAGCGCACACACACAGCCACACACACAATGAGTGCTGAAACACAGCCCCTGCAGTGTTTTAATGCAAGGGGCTGCACTGGTAAGGGGGTGAAGGGGTTGTAGGGACAGTGTCCCATAGGCATGTACGACACAGTCACGCTGTGATGAGTCTGATGACATGAGTGGCCTCATTCATGTTTCAAGTCCACAAACATAAACAATGGCCACCAAACAGTGGAAAGCTACTTGCTATTGACATTACACAACACCAGATTCAAGCCCAGTGCAATGCAGCGCTTTGCTGGATGATGTCATGTGTCATGTTGTGCTCCAGAAAAAGTTGAACTAGATCCAATGTTTTTTGCCAAAGAAAGAAAAAATTCCGAGTCAAAGAAAGAGTCCATTCAGTTTTTTACATTTCAATAATCACGTGGGGCGACAGTGGTGCAGTGGGTAGAGCAGTTGTCTCCTAACCGGAAGGTTGAAGGTTTGAATCTCTGCAGTCCACATGTCGAAGTGTCCTTGGGCAAGACACTGAACCCACGTGATGGCGATGCGTATGCACATAGCGGCCCGGGGCCCTCGGCTCCTAAAAAAATTTCATTGTTACAATAAAATAAGGCTTCTTCTTATTGTGATTTTGGTTCCAAACAATGATGTTGCAGTTTGTTACTCCATGATGTTAACAGTGTATATGAAAAAGTAAAGTAATGTTAATTCTGCTCTTAATTTATTTACTTTTTCCTTCTAAAAAATAACCAATAAGAGTACCATTCAAGTACTGGATTGATAAGCAGTACAGGTAAGAGTAGTATAGTTAAAATCTATACAATATCCATCACTAGAGCAAGCCAAGTACATATCAAAACCAAAAATATTAGTATAAAAGACCACAGAGCAGACCCAGAACACACTGAAGGGATAATACATCCAATACAGCCCAGTGAAATCTTGAGACAAATGTGAGGTTCAGAATCAGAATCAGAATCTCCTTTATTGGCCAGGTGTGTCGGACACACGAGGAATTTGACTCTGGTACATTGGCTCTCAATGTGCATGTACATATCCCCATACAAAGGGGAGAGTAAACAGTAAACCAGCGTGAGGCTGTGTAATATAACAAAATTAACAGTATTAACAAGCAACAAACAGTGCAAACAATGCAAAATAAGCAGTAGAAACAGGCAGTAAACAATGCAGACACACAAAGGAATGCTGATTGTGAAACGAGATAAATAGGAATAAAAATAGGTAGGCTAGTGGTTAAGGCGCAGCGCTCTCACCGCTGTGGCCCGGGTTCGAGTCAGGGTTGTGTCAGGAAGGGCATCTGGTGTAAAACACGTGCCAAATGCCAACATGCGAGTTGTCAGTGTGATGATTTGCTGTGGCGAAAACAGGAAAAGCCGAAAGTGACTTTCATTGCACTGAGGGTTATTGTCCAGTCATACTGTCAAGTGTTCATAAGAGTGATGGCCGGGGGGAAAAAACTGTCTTTGTGCCTGGTTGTCTTGGCATACGCTTGATTGTAGCGCTGTCCAGAGGGGAGGAGTTTGAACAGATTATGTCTGCAGTGATCCTTTTTGACCTCCTTTTTGGTCCTGAGGTTGGACGTCCACTTCAGGTCCTGGGAGATAGTGGAGCCCTTGTAGGACTTTACTGCTGATACAGTGCTGCCAAGTATGGTGAGGTGGGGTAAGGTGGGGGGAGGTTCTTCCTGAAGTCCTCTGTCATCTCCACTGTTCTGAGTGTGTTCAGCTCCAGCTTGTTGCAGCTACACCACAGGACCAGCTGCTCAACCTCCCGTCTATAGGCTGACTCCTCACTGTCACGGATGTGCCCGATGATCGTAGTATCATCAGCAAACTTTAGGAGTTTGACAGAGGGTTCCTTTGAGATGCAGTCATTGGTGTAGACTGAAAATAGCAGAGGGGAGAGCACACATCCCTGGGGGCCACCTGTGCTGATTGTCCGGGTGTTGGATGTGGTTTTCCCCAGCCTCACCTGCTGCTTCCTCTCTGTCAGAAAGCTCGTAATCCACTGACAGGTCGGGGCAGGCGCAGTGAGCTGGGTCAGTTTGGAGTGGAGGATATCCGGGATGATGTTGTTGAATGCCAAGCTGAAGTCCACAAAGAGGGCCCTTGCATAGGTCCCTGGGGAGTTGAGGTGTTGCAGGATTTTGCCTAGTTTGGTGCCATTGCTACCTGGGCATTCATAAGCAGCGGAAAATGGGTAGGCGAGTGACGTTACAACCTATCTAACAACTAGAATTGCCACCTTGTGGTTGTATGCCTCCAGCCAATTTCATGAGAATGGGACAGACATGAGGAAACAGTGACCTTGATCTTTGACCACCAAGATCAAAGAGAATTAGTTCATCCTTGAGTCCAAGTGGACACTTCTGCCAAATTTGAAAAAAACATAAAAACCTGCTGTTATACAGTGAATCTGGCTTTTCAGGGGCCCTGAAGTTATTAGGGCCTTGGCAGGTGCCTGCTTTGACTGGTTGGAAGCCCAGCCTTACCTACAAGAAATACTTAAAGCAATAAGCAGATGTATTATTGTAAACCACCTATGTGAATCATGCTGTATGTCTGTGTGCACAGAAGATGGAAGTCAAGAATCGATTTTTTTCTAAATGGCATGAAGCACTTATTAAAGTTTTTGGTGTATGCAATATCTTATTTCTGTGCAATTATCAATGCAACAAACTCCAATGGAAATTATAGTAATAACAAGTGAGGCACAAATGTAGCCTAATAAGAGTGGTCTACATTAAAAACAAAAAGCTTTCTCCTTCTGAATTGAAATCTGCTCATAGGTTTTGGGGTGCTGAATTAAAAATGACCTTTAAAAAAACTGATTGGCTATCGTTTATATGATATTTTGCCATTTATATTTTATGCTGATGTTCAAAAATCTGACTGACAAATAAAAATAAAAACTGAATGGCTCTATTCTGTCATGATGTAGAAATGATAGTCATGTCTGTCTGGATCTATAACAAAGAGCAATGTAATATAATGAAACACCGAACACTGACCCAGCCTAAATCTGATGGAGTTATTACAAAACATATTCTAGTGTGTG